AGGGCATTCACAGAATATATTATGAAAAAAAACACACTATTTCAATTGAAAACTGCAATTTTTGCAAAGTGTAAAAAAAATAAATAGAACACACTCTTCACACAAATCTTTTTAGCAAGCTAAAGTTGTTTAGGGGTCTGGAGTGACACTTTAATGATGCTTAAATAATTTCCTGAAGTCATCACATTATTGCCGACAACCACTCATGTTTTGAGGGCATTGCTCTCAGGGAAAAGGCCCAGGCATACTCGAGTTTTACATATTTAAGTGCAATTAGTGGTTTACAGTTTGGCTATCTGAAAGTGCATTTTTCTATACTATGATTCCTGGTTATTGATGTTGGCTTGTCTCATTAGCTATTCTCTGTATCAATGACCTTTGCTTATTTATCAATTTAGTTTATCTCCATTGCCCTTGGCCTGCGTGTTTGGTTACCTATCCAGACAATAATGTCACAGTGGAGGTGCCCTGCTTAAGAAATTGTTCCTGAGGAAGGCCTATAATATAGGCAGTGGCGAGAGGTAAAAGGGATGAGATGCAGGTATTAAATTAGGGTAACACCACAAAACCATCATCATGTCATTAATAACTAAACTCCTACAACAATAAAATGGATACTTATATTTATCATTATTATAAAGTATATATTAATCGCTTAACGAGCTGTCATATTTTAAAATTAACTTGTCATTAAGTTGTTCCTACATTTTGAATAGGAATATTTTTTTTCCCAGCCTTAAATGAAATCAATCATGTGTGGTTTTTCCTCAATCTCACAATGCAGTGAATGCAACACGGTTTATGTAAAATGGTTTCCAATATATAAACAGTTACCCTGACTAAACAACAACAATGTATAGATAGTTTGAAAAATGCTTACTATGATACTAAAAGCAATAAATCTGATCACTTCTATCCATAACCCCCAGGGTCCATTGCCCTCCTTCCCCCCCATTCCTCATAACCCTGTGAATGCCAATTTGTAGCATTGTTGCTTTAAAACTACAATCACTGCACGAAAGGCTTATGGACCCAGTTTCCAAAAGATAATGCATAAATAAATCAATTACAGCATTTTCTCATGGTGACTGGTTTTGGATGCCAGTCACATGGGATGTTAGTTAAGTATTCTTCCCAGCACAGAAAACATTCAATCCACAGGATCAGTCACTGAGAGATAACACCGTAAATGTCATTATCTCACTGTACTGTCAATTACCATTTTAAAACAAGTACAATTCTGACGTAACACATTGATCACTCCCAGTGAGTTTTAAATGTTGATTGTGGCATTATTTTTTCACAATACACACACTTTGTTTTCGATCTATAGATAAAACAAATCATTGCAAAAATCCTAAAGTGCTTATGGAGTTAAAATGTTCCAGATATATCCAGAATTCAGAGTTGGCATAAAAGAGGACAGCATGGACTCCCTTCGTGCTACAGACACTGATGTTATTTCTACCATTTATGGATTGGCAAGGGTAGGTGCAAATGCCAATGAGACACGAAAGGACTATTAATGAAATATATAAATGTTATAAATTGGAAATTGACCATCCTAATGCAAACGTGTAGGTTAAAATAGTTAAGTTGGAAAAATGTGAAGTTGGAGAATGTTTCTAATAAGCATATTAAATACTAACATTTTCAGTTCCTTTGTTTATTCCCAGTCACCTGTGTCTCTCCAATCATATGATTACAGGGAAAGGGACAATATAAGCACTATAATCTCTCTTTGAAGTGGTTATAATGCCAGGGGTCCTTTTGCCATAGTTCAGTGTTAAACCATTTTTGATCAATGTATCTCAGAATGAGGGTCCTTACGCATCCATAACCCGGTTCCCCTGCTGGAGGTGTGGCTAAGGTGGAGTGTTATTACACATACCAATCCACAACAAACAAGTGATAGGCTGCAAGCACTCATGTGTTGCTTTCAGGATAACGAAGAACCCTATCTGATTCTTATTAGGACTTTTGTTATGTTAGATGTTTTCATTGATGATGTACCTTTGTCTAGGAGTGGATGGCATTTCATGTTATTTTGTATGCTATTCTTAATTATCTATGAACGTGAAAATAAAGGATATGTATAAAAAAAAAAAAAGGAAGAATATATAGTTACTTTGTTAAAATAGAAGACACCTTTGCAAAGTGTTGCTTTCTTTGTTGTCACGTAAAGTATAATACAATGAAATAATTAACAGGGCCCCACCAATTATTACATGTTGCTGGACCCTGCACCCCTGAAGGAATTACGTTAATCTGACTCTTTAAGCACAAATCTGTATTTATACAATGATCAGCCACAACATTAAAACCACGGCCACTAATATTTTGTAGGTCCCCTCGTGCTGCCAAAACATTCCTGATATGTCATGGCATGGACTCCACAAAACCTCTGAATGTATCCTATGGTATCTGGTAACCAAAATACTAGCAGCAGATCCTTTACGTCCTGCAAGTTGGAAGGTGGGGCCTCCATGGATCCGATTTCTTGTTCCAGCACATCCCACAGATTCTCAAATCAGATTGAAATCTGGGGAACTCTTTGTCATGTTCTTCAAACCATTCCTGATCATTTTTATCCTGCTGAAAGAGGTCACTCCCATCAGGGAACAACATTGCCATAAAGGGGTGTACATGGTTTGCAATAATGTCAAGGTAGGTGGTACGTGTCAAGGTAACATGCACATGAATGCTACGACCAAGGTTTTCCCAGATGAAAAATTGCCCAGAGCATAACACTGCTTCCTCCCGGTCCTCCTTCTTCCCATAGTGTTTTCAGCTACTATCTCTTCCCTAGGTAAACAACACACACGCACCTGGCTATCCACCTGATCTTAAATAGAACATGATTCACCAGACCAGGCATCCTTCTTCCATTGCGCCATGGTCCATTTCTTATGCTCACGTCCCCATTGAAGGAGCTTTCAGCCACTCTGGTCAGTCTGCAACTATGCAGCCCCATACACAGCAAAAAGTGATGCACTGTTTATTCTGACACCTTTCCATCATGGTCAGCATTACATTTTTAAGCAATTTCAGCTACAGTAGCTCTTCTGTTTGATCGGACCAGATTATTATTTATTATTTTATTATTTATATAGCGCCAGCAAATTCCATAGCATCCACATGCATCCATGAGCCTTGTGCCCCCATGACCCTGATGTTGGTTCACCGATTGTCCTTCCAAGAACACCCCACAAGACTTGTCGTTTTGAAAATGCTCTGACCCAGTCATCACTACTTGGTCCTTATCAAAGTCATTCACACTTTTCGTTTGCCCATTTTTTCTGCTTCCAACAAATGAAATTTAAGAACAGACTGTTCACTTGCTACCCAATAGATCACACCCCTTGACAGGTACTGTTGTAATGCTATAATAAATGTTATTCACGTCACCTGTCAGTGGTTTTATTTTTGTGGCTGAACACTGTATGACTGCAAGTTGAAAATCTGGAGATCCAAAATCATATACACAATGCAGTGCAAGCATACAGCAGCAAAAATATAAACTGTAAAAAGTAAGAAAAAAAAAGAATGCACATTGCATCTATAACGAAAAAAAATAAAATAAAAAAAACACAACTTATTTATACTGCATGTGGCATTCCTCAGCTTTATTTGTTTCCAGCTACATGTTTGGTTCCCACTTAGTCAGTAAAAGCAAAAAATTCAAGAAACCACTGTGGTACTCCGCAGATGTGGCCAAAATAGTAAAAAACTAAAAGTTAGCATTTAGGAATTATAAAAAAAAACAAGAGTGAGGAAGACAAAATGATCTATAAGATTAGGCAGAAAGAGGCTAAGCAAGTTATAAGAGCTTCCAAATCACACACACAAGAGAAAATAGCACAGTCAGTAAAAAAGGGGGATAAAACATTTTTTAGATACATAAATGAGAAAAGAAAAGTAAAACAAGGATTAGTTAGATTAAAAACAAAAGAAGGAAGGTATGTAGAAGAGGATAAAGGTCTAGCTGACTGCCTCAATGAATATTTTTGTTCTGTATTTACAGATGAAAATGAAGGAAAGGGACCTCAGTTGAGAAAAGGGATAAATGAGTCATTTATTACACGTGAGTTTACAGAGGAAGAGGTTCTATTTCAACTGTCAAAAGTAAAGACAAATAAGTCAATGGGACCTGATGGAATACACCCAAAGCTATTAAAAGAGCTTAGTGGTGTACTAGCAAAACCATTAACAGATTTATTTAACCAATCATTGTTAACAGGAGTAGTCCCAGAAGATTGGAAGTTAGCGAATGTTGTGCCGATTTACAAGAAAGGTAATAGGGAGGAGTCGGGCAACTATAAGCCAGTAAGCCTTATTTCATTAGTGGGGAAAGTGATGGAAACCATGTTAAAGGATAGGATTAATGAACATCTAAAAACACATGGATTTCAAGATCAGAGACAACATTGATTTACTTCAGGGAGATCATGCCAAACTAATCTTATTGATTTTTTTGATTGGGTAACTAAAATTATAGATCAGGGTGGTGCAGTAGACATTGCTTACCTAGATTTCAGTAAGGCTTTTGACACTGTTGCACATAGAAGGCTTATCAATAAACTGCAATCTTTAAGTTTGGATTCCAATATTGTTGAATGGGTAAGGCAGTGGCTGAGTGACAGGCAACAGAGGGTTGTAGTTAATGGAATATATTCGAAGCTTGGACTTGTCACCAGTGGGGTACCTCAGGGATCTGTACTTGGACCCATTCTCTTTAATATTTTTTATTAGTGATATTGAAGAAGGTCTTGATGGTAAGGTATGTCTTTTTGCTGATGATACTAAAATATGTAACAGGGGGGCGTGGCTGGGCTGCCGATGGAGTAGGACGCAGGCAGTGAGAACTCCCGGGCCCCAACCCTGCCATAGCCCGTGTTAAAAGCGTTTCCACTCCCGTCCGAATGGGTAAACCGAGGAAGGGGACTGCCCCGGGCCCGCAACATACCGCCATGTCGCAGCAGTCGGGACCGATGGACGAGTTCCTGTCCACCCCACAATGTATGGCCGGCACACGAGGCCCAGACAAAATGGCGCCCGGATCGCCGGGAACACTTAGCAGGACGAGCTCCACACAAGACTCCCCACGGAGAGACGCCCTCACTCAGATGTCCGCCGAACTTGCGGCAATCTCGGCAAATATGTTTTCCAGGCAGGACAAGAAAGAGCTGGTGGCAGAACTCCGCGCGGCTATCCGGGAGGAGGTGGCTGCTGTTCGGCGTGACCTCACCGCCCTAGAACACTGGGTGGGGGACCTGGAGGTCCAACAGCTGCAGGCAGAACAATCCCAACGGGCCACAGATCTAGCTACCACGCGGCAGGGCAACCTCCTCCTGGAGCTCAGACGCCAGGTGGAGGACCTTGAGAACCGCGGACGGCGCAATAATATCCGCGTCAGAGGCCTGCCGGAGTCTGAAGGAGAGACCCCAAGAGAGGTGCTGGAGGGCCTGTTCACACAACTACTGGGGGAAGAAGCTCCGCCGGATTTTGGATTAGAGCGTGCCCACCGGGCACTTCGACCACCAAGGAGAGATGGCCTCCCCAGGGACTTGGTATGCTGTTTTCAATCCTTCCAACTGAAGGAAAGTATTATGAGAGCGGCCAGGGCACTGCGCACCATCAACTACATGGACTCGCATGTATCCCTATACCATGACCTGTCTCCCCTCACCCTCGATGCCAGGCGAGCGCTGAAGCCCCTCACAAGCCTCCTACAGCAGAAGCGGATCCCTTACAAGTGGGGATTCCCGTTCAGCCTGCAGGCAAGAATTGATAACCGCTGGCTAGCGGTCCGCTGGCCTAATGACGTGCCTAGATTTCTGCGAGCAGCGGGCCTCCCGGAGATTCCCGTCCCTAACTGGATCCTTGATAACCCGCCGACCAGACCCACAGGCCCTACAGTTCCGGCTGAAAACCTGACGGATGGTGCCCCGCAGGGCTCCTCGACGCACCGGAGGGGGCCCAGCACCGCGGAGGAGTAGGAAGTCAGTATGCGCCCGAGGGCGAGCCCCTGGAGGGGTTCTTGGGTGGACCGGGAACCCCGAGACCCCCACGTCCCTCCCCGTGGGTAAGGTGCATACCTGCCCGTAGGCAAACATGGATTAACCGAGGACATGAAACTGAGCAACCGGGGTATGTACAGTACTTTTCCCCAGGCCTGTGACTCCCCTATGTACACTATAAGACCCGTACCCCCGGGAACTCAGCACTTGGGTGGGGGACGGGAAATGTGGGGGCAGCAAAATGGAATCATATAAGGGAGTTGGCCACCACCACTTCACACGGCCTCAGTAGGTGCAGAGCTGGTTCGGGAGGAGGGCCCGATCTATTGGACCTGCCATAGGGAGAGGGCAGAGCCGGGGGGGTCCGGCTGGGTCCCCCACGATTAGCAATAGCCCTGGCTATTAACAGCCGGTCAAGACCTGGAGTGGGGACGGGGCCTGTGGGGGGGTGGGGCGAGACTCCTAAGAGGTTAATCATCGGGGCCAGGGAGCCATGACGGAGCCCGGGATGGGGGTGTGGGGCTGGAAGCGCACCCGTCACACCCCCCCCCGGGCCCGAAGGCCAACTGTCTACGTCCTGACCCCTGCAGGGCCGAGAGTTGTAGAGAGGGGGGACGACAGGGCACCCTGGGGCGCACGGAGGAACTAATACATAGGCCTGAAAAGGGCACAGGAATCAATCAGCATTAATTACATTTGGCACTACTAAAGTCTAGGAAGGGCCAGACGGCTCGTGCGTCCTCGGGAGACGGATACCCGGCAGGGCGGGAGGGGGTAGGACGGAGACTCTGGACGATGGGGGGGTTGAGGGGGTAGTTCGGTCCATATACTCTCCCTGCAGTACAAGGGGTAGAATGCTGACGGCGGACAACTGAGACTAGAAGGAGACCGCACACACATCTCGAAGGCTAGGCTCAGGGAGGAAAGGAAACACGGGCGCAACCCGGGAAGTCTGACTCAACATACACGGATAGGCCACGAGATGGGGACAACTCGACACTTGGACTGGCGGGTTGGGAGCACCGGGAGACGGATTCGGACCCGACACACACATTAGGTTGTTCTGCGCCGCAGGCGACCTCGCTCACACCCCACGCAACTGACCCGTGGTGTACAAACTAGTCGGAGTTCGGTAGGACTACAGTCGAGTAGCTGCCGAACAACTCTATCCGACTGAGGTTCATTGTTGCTATCAAACTTTTTTTTTTTTTTTTTTCTCTCTTCTCCTACCTCTCCATTCCTTTCTTTCTCTACATCTCTCCCCCACCCGCCCTTTTCCCCCGGCGCCCACGTATAGTCAGCTACACAATGCCTTCCCAGACATGGCCGGGTGGGGGACGCCCACCCCGAGGGGACGGGGGGAGTCTCGCCCCCGCACAACTCAAAGTGTGGTCTAATAACGTGAGGGTCCTAAATACCCCGGAGAAACGGTCCCAACTATTGCGGCAGTTATGGGCGGAAAAGGTGTCCATGGCGCTCTTGCAGGAGATGCACTTTAGAGGTCAGGACTCTCCAAAGATTGAGAATAGACGCTTTCCACAGGGGTACTACGCCAATCACCCAGAGTCTAAGAAAACGGGAGTGGCGATTCTGTTCTCCCGCATAATCCCGTTCCACCACATAGACACCATGACGGACCCGGGGGGGGAGGTTCATCTTCTTGAAGGGCACCATCGGACATCACACCTACACCTTTGCAAGCATTTATAGCCCTAACCGCGGATAGCATAAATTCCTTACCAAAACGCTGGCCAAACTAGAAAAATTCAGGGCCGGCCTGCTGATTTTGGCAGGGGATCTCAACGTTCCTCTGGACCCCCGGGTGGACACCACCAGAGGGACCAGCACTGTCCCAGAGCACGGCTTACGCGCAATGCGACGAGCACTGACTGGCATGGGGTTGGTCGACTGTTGGCGGGTGGCCCACCCGGACGATAGATATTTCTCCTATTACTCATCAGTATATAGGCAATATAGTAGGATAGACTACATCTTCATGCCCCAGGAGAGCCTAGCGCTTCTCCGAGATGCTTCCATAGGGATTATCAATCAGTCCGACCATGCCCCAAACACGGTGGTAATGAGTTCACCTCTATTTAAACCGACCGAACGCCAATGGAAACTTAATGAAACCATGTTAACAGAGCTCGAGATACGCACCAAGACACTACAGACGCTAACGCAATACTTTGATACTAACAACACACCCGACATGCCCCCACTGATGCTGTGGGAAGCCCATAAATGCGTCATTAGAGGTCACTTTATATCTATCAGCACGCAACGTAAGAAAGATAGGGCACGCCAAATATTGGACCTCGCGGCACGGATTGCAGACCTAGAGAACACACATAAGCATAGCCTGGATGACGACTGTAAAATCTAGATGAATGGATGTTCATGTTGAATCTTCTTAATTTCTTCTTGTCTTCAGATGATTGATATATATATTCTTGGGCCAAATGCTCGCCACAATAATATATGTCTAATATATGTCTTATTGAAAAGTAGTAATACGCAATCTGACTTACGGTTTCTTCAGGTTTATTCTTTCTTACGGATACATAATAAAACATAATAAATGATGTTACCGGATAATGTACATTCAACAGCAGATGGTAATTGCTGGACTTCTGATGGGAGAGTTACATCGTTGTACAGAGCCAAGAGCCAAGCCAAGACTCAAACCAAGACTGAGCGCAACCTCATGTCCCTCTGTTACTATATTGATGTGCTAATACTAACGTCAGCATTTAACTCTAGCCATATAAGGAAAAGACCCCCGAATCCACATTCCAGAGCTCTCGGACAAAGAAAGCCTTGTGACTTATTGATACCATCTGTTACTTATGTCAATCCACACATCCATATATATAATCAATAGAAACATAGAATATGCAATATTCTACATTCCCTCTGTTTATGGTTTGTTTTAAAACCATAACACAATGTCACTAACCTGTCCATTCATACATCACTTGTATCACATTCATTGAGCATAGAACAAGATGTAGTCACAATTTTCTATTATATGAGAGTTCTTAGAAGGTCGAGTTTCTATCCCTCATACTGCTTACTTTACTTCAAAACTCCCTCTGTTTCAGTTCTGAACTGATATCCATATCCATATTACATCATAACTACTTGAACATAATATATACATATATATAACAATAATAAATGAATAAAATAAAATATTTACAAATGTTGATCCAATAAACAATAAAGCAATCAAAAATATCTACCTGCTCAGGTACAGTCATGTCTTTGTAGACAACAAAATCAAGATGATAACTTTCTAAATAATAACTGTGTTTCACTATCATATTCCTACAGACACATATATAGTATAGTATTTTCATTCTCAAAACCTGATATTACTAAAATACTAATACATGTATTACTATAATATCCTGTCCAATTAGATTTCCATGAATCATATGGTTTCTAGCAACCTTAAAATCTTTAGGTCATTTGTATTCATGAATTACCTTCCTATACCATTAATACCACCTAGTGATGATTGTATCAGTATTTTACAATCATAGTATTTAATTTGTATATTCAGTAGGCTCTAACTACCTGAAATATACCAACACTACTTATAAGTCTCATTCAAAGGATGTGTTATCAACCATGAAGTTCTATAATAATTCTTCAAATAATGTTCATGGTGTTGACAATACTTATTGTCCTAGAAATTCTTCACCCAGAAATCTTTCTATCATAGATTTGTTTTTGTTTACATAATTATAATTTTCACTAAAATTCCACCTTGTAGTAACAAACTTTAAATTCAATAGAAACATAGTTTACTTTAAAATAACTTGGAAAGAATAATATAAATTCATTAGCATCACTCTCTTCATTAGCATTGTGATGACTTATTAATGTAATACATCTTAAAAGCAGGATTGTCCTAATGTTCTGACCAATCCTATTCTTTAGTACACTTCAACTGACTAAAATAAAATAAACAAAACTTGGGGTCATACTGCCCAGAAACTCTTATTCCTAGTCTGTGTCTAACAAACTCAGGGTAATCATAAAACAACGTATTCATTGGATACCATCATATCCAGAAACCTATTCTCCCTAGTCCATACCTTTTATAGACTTAGGTCAAATATAATTGTGTACTATACTCTTAACTAAACTTCAATTCAATTCCTCTTGGATCTCTGAACTCTTATATCCAAGGCCTTCTTAATGTATACCATTACTTAATATAAATCAATATAAATTATCCTTCCTTAGTTTTCTTCCTTATGTTACCATTGTTTGTTTTACTTCACCTCACTTACAAACAAATTATTCCTTATAGTTAATCTATGAAATACTATTGAACTCAATCTTTGTGGTATTAAGTAACCATGATCCTTATTTTATCAACTTCATATTTTATCTACCTCTGATACTTCTCATTCTATGTATAGGTAATAATATAATAGTTCTCTTCATAATACTATCCTTTCGTAAT